CTCACCAGTTTGTTCAGTCTCTTTCTGTCCCCCAGCAGACGACAGCGTAGAGGAGGGCTGATGCCTCCACAGAGTCAGAGAAGGTTTGAAGCAGGAGCTGCTCACTGCAAAGGAGCTCAGCCTCCTCAGGAGGTGGAGGGAGGCGGCTCTGGCCTTTCTTAACCGCTTTGGTTCAACTGAGCAGATTTCATTCAGATGGAGTCAGTTGATTCATTCAATTGGATCCTGATATCAGCTTAATAAACCTTTTAATTTGTATTGTAAATATTAATTTATAAGCCTGTTTAGAGGGACTTCTATCCATCATCTACTTTTAATGACTGCTGCAGTAGATGGAGGCTGGAGTCACCAACCCTGCTTTAAATCTACCCTGCAGATCCCTCATCATGGAGAGCCTGACTCCACGTTCCTCTACTGACCACCCTGAACATATCAGAGCCTGGCCTCAAAGCTTCTGCACATCCTCAGAAATCTTCCAATCGGCTATAAGCCCACTGGACTCTTTAGACGATCCCTCAGAGATAACTGGAGAAGTTCTGTCCACCAGTAGGAGGTTTCCTGACAGGCCCGTTCATCTCTTCTGGCTTGAAGGCACCTCGTGGTCCTTCAGAAGATCCAGAGAGCTTCGGGGAGAGAAATGTTTCCTTATTGCCTCCATGAAGTGTCCTCCATCAGAAGATGAATATTTGATGGTTTTACTGTTTCACTCTGTGACCTATAAAAAGAAGAAAGATTGCTGAATTATTAACGGGTGGGGCACCTTGGCTCACAGCTCGCTGAGACTGAAGATAAGAAATGGAAAATGTTTCATCTTCTGCATCTGAAATCTGGTTCTTCAAATAGATTTTTAGTTTCCATTCCAAGTTTCTGAAACTAATGAACCCTCCATCAGAAATATTTCAACTCCTCCTCCTCCTCATCATCATCATCATGGTAGCTGGGCTCCTTCAGAGCAGCCGGTGGGCGTTCAGGATGTTTTCTCTCTCTGAGAAGCATTGAAACATTAAAATCTGATTGTTATGAAGAATAAAACGCAGAGGAGCCTGAACAGAACAGGCTGCCCTGCAGTGACCCGTCTCCATTCTTCTCTCTCTTTCCAACATGACGGGAACGTGGCTGAGCTCTGCTCTCAGCTCTGTGGAGGTGGGAAACTCTCCTCCACACCAACTGTGCAGATCCTGCAGGAACGGATCCATGCTGCCAGCTCTCTCCCTGCTTTTCACGAGATGATGGAGTCTCTGCCAGCCGTTCCTCATGAGCAACAGGTTCAGTGGGAGTTAAATAATGAAGGACCCCCCCACCCCCCATCACTCCTACAGATAAAGAAAGGATGAATGAACTCCTTTCATTAATGCTGCATCAGTTTTATTGATTGGCATTAAGTTTAAGATAGAAAACCTTTCCTTTAGGTCGCTCCAGAGTGAACGGCTGTTAAAAAGAGAAATAAAAAAATATTTTTGGCACTGAATGTTCCAGACAAGCAAGAATAACTCATGATTGCATTAAAGAAATTGTGGCCTTGGAAAAAAAAATCTACTACATAAAGAACAAGCATTCCGAGCAAAGGAGAAAGACCTCTACTGCCACCTAGAGGACAAAAAATACCCAGCTCCAAATTTAACCTGAGAGGAAACAGCAAAACATTTATTTATATTGTTTGAACTTTTTATATTAACTTTGTGCCAGAAGCTGAATGTTATCCTCCTCTTCTTCATTAATATTCTGCACATATTTCAGTCAGATCACTTATTTTCAGGCTTATGACTGCATGCTTAGAAAAACCAGCAGAGGCTAAGGATCTTCACTGGTGATTCCAAAAAAAAAAAGTTAAAAATCAATCCACTTTGTTTCCAAGTTTGAAGACGTTTCTCTTCCATCCAGGAAGATTTTTCAATTCAAAATGTCAGAAATAGCGTTTAGTTCCAGGTTTTATCCAGCAGCCCAACAAAGCCTGGTTTTAGTTTAGAAAACATGCAAATAGAAACGGATGAACGGGTCCCCCCCTTTGGAATGGGGGTCGTTTGGCTTCTTTTGTTAGCCTGCAATGCCCCATACCTGTCTATGTCTCTGAAAGGGGGGTCGTTAGAGGGAATTGTTGGCCTGGCTGAACAGGGGAGGTCTTCTGCTCTCCTGTAAAGGGGCCGGGGGCTCAACTCACATTGAATTCTTTACACTGAATTTATATCTACTAAAGATTTGCCTGCAGAAAATTCAGCTGCAAAAAATTTGACTGCAAATGTGTTGAACTCAAGTCAAAGCAATCGACGCTTTATCAAGTAGCTTCTAGCCAATGAAATTAGCTTATTTGGTCAGAAAAAAAAGAAAGTTTGGCAGCAGTTGCTTCTTCCGGATCAAACCAAGAGCCTTGGCAGACGGGTGGCCGTCTATTAGTAGCTACCTGATGTTTTATAATCAGATCTATTTAACAAGAAAAACTCCTCATTCAGCTTCATTCAGTCAGGAACAAATCTATGCCCAACTGCTGCGTCACGTGACCAAATGAGGTCATTTCATTGGCTAGAAGCTGCTCGACTGCATCGGAAGTAGATTGCTTCGGCTTGAGTTCACCAACAGGTCCACACATTTGCAGGCGAATTTTAACCAGATATAGTTTCAGTGTAAAGAATTCAACGTGTAAAAAAAATCAGTGTTTAAAATTCGATGTACAAAAAGAGGCAGATTCCAATGAGATAAATAAAAATGAGCTTAAACGAAACAAAACTAACGAGTCTATTTCTAA